CACACTCATGCATACCCTATCCCCATCAAGCGGAGGGCATAAGGGTGCACACACATCAGTACGTTACCCAGCATGGATGCAGAGGAACTCTGGGAGGAGGAAACAACCCCCTCCCTCACGGAGACAGTCTTACATTTTAATGGAATAATGAAATGAAATACAGACCTTTTATTATTTTAAAAAGAAAATCTGTAGCCTCTGTTTAGCCACAAACAGCAACAGGGCAAACCACAACACTACCACCCACCAATGTGTCTCCATCAGACCTCTCGGTACCAGCACACGTCAGTCCCTGTGCCTGTAAGTCCTTATCTTCTTCGCTGAGAATGCCTACCAGGGGTCCAGCTGTGACGGCGGTTTTGGGGACACTTATCCACTGGGAACTGGACTGAAACTCCCTCCCCCCAGACTCATTTCAGAGAGATCACCAAACACCCCTGAAATGATCATCACTTTTCAACCCCGCTAGCCCAGCCTGGATCCCAAGCAATCCCCTAGAGTGAAGGATGAGCTACTCTAGCACCAGCCCCCTGAGCCTGCGAAGCTTTTGAAATATTTAACTACAGTTTCTACATCCTGCCACCTGCTCCCCACTGCCCAATAGAGGAGCCACTCCCTGCTGCTTTGTGCTTCCCTACTCCAATATCAGATAAGCATCACTGAGGTCAATGAATATTTCAGCAGATTCAGACTCTGGACCAGGCATCTCTCTTCTCCATTCTCATGAATATTTAAACTTCTCCATAGACAAACCCCTGAATGCTCTACTCATGAGAGTCAAAGCTACTGAGGGCAGCCACCTGTGCTCTATTGTCTTGCAGGACAAAGACATGTCATGATGTTGTATCATGACAGTCTGACATTTGCACTTATCCACTATAGCACTAAATCAGCATGCTGTGGACCATTATCCTCACACTGGGATGCAATATCAGGGGCATACTGGCATATATTCATCATGCCTCAATAAATCTAGGTTTGATATCCCTGGACAACCATTTTTCCTCTTTTACCTTCCAAGACATTTGAGGTTCCCTGTGATGTCCTTTCCCACTGTTTCGAGATTTCATCTGCATTGGCCCAGGGACAGGACTTGCTTGGCTGTTGAATGGTTGCTCATCTCTGTGCCACTGGGCACAGCTCTCAATTACTGCTTCTTCATCCTTTGTCCAATGCCCAGGTATATGGTGATGGGCCATGCAAGGACAAGTCAGAGTGTCATACATTCATAAAGTTTAAGGCCAGAAGGGATCATCTAGTCTGACCTCCTGCATATCACAGGCTGCCAATGCCACCCAGCGTTTAAAGTGCAGGTCTACTCAAAAAAGCGATTCTAAAATGGCACTGTGGGGCTCTGCTTTATAGTCCCTCAGTGATTTCCATACCAAATATGCTCAGTCTGCAAGTGAAATGAGGGGTTTCTAAATATGAGCCCCGCCAACTGACCCTGGGATCTGAGGGTCATGCTGGGCTCTTTCCTTGTCACCTCCATCAGCAGCAGTAAAGATTCTGCGGGATCACTTACGCCTCCCCTGTGACACCTATTGCCATTGCCTTCAACGAGTTTGCACAGGTGTCACCAGAGCATGGTAAACAATTATGCAATGATGCACAAGGAAGGATAGCCTACAGCTCCCCCCCCCCCCTTAGCTATGCTGTTTCTGTAGGGCTCACAGGAGTAAAAGGCAGTAAAACCTGATTATTTATTTGATTTATAAAACAACAATAGGCATCTAGCTCACACTGCAGGTGCAGGGGGACAATTAATTAAAAATACAATGTAATTAATCACAAAAGTCAGCAGCTATATGCTCAAGAGGACGAGCTGTGGAGAAAGAAAGGGTTGTTTTTAGATAAGTCACTTTTCAGAGCCGAACAGTGCTCTAAGGATGCTCTAGCCAGGCTTAAAGGTAGAGCTACTGTTTTCATGAGATCCCTCACAATAGCACCCTAGCATTCCAAACATACTCAAATCTCCTTAATTACTCCTGGAGCTGATCAAAGCAGAACTGCTACAAAAATCAGATGGCACAAATTTCAGGATAGTTGATAACCCTAGGAAGTGTAACATCTCTTTTCAGGGCAGGGCAGCTGTGGAATTTAGCTAATAGTTGTGTTGCTGATGCAGGAGGCAGAATGGAGTCCAGCTTGTTCCACCATAGTTATGTTGGCCTAATAGGAGTAAACATTTTTTTGTGACAGTAAAGTCAAGTACATAGATCTGAGAGTCAGAAGGGGTGATAATGCTCAACTAATCTGACCTCCAGCATAACACAAACCATAGAACTTCCCCCAGTGATTCTCGCATCAAATTCGTATCTTCTTGTTGCATTAGGACATAAGCACCCAGGCTCAAGTCCAGATCCTCAAAGGCATTTAAGCACCTAAGAACCTCTGAGGATCTGGGGCTAACTGTATAGTGCCGGGGTATGTATGAAAGATACATACAAAATGCAGTTATACAGTATGTATAAGGTGATGGAGGAGAAACACAAAGGTTGCATAAGAAATGCCAGCTGTAATACAATACTTACAGCTCCTAACAGACAGCAGAGTTACCTGTGATCTAATTTCCTACGGGCAACATATTCAGTGGCAGGCAACTCCTCAGCCCCTTTTAGTCTGCAAACTATCTGCAATGGAAAATTCAGACCTAAGCAAAGGCACCTAGAAAAAAAATTAAACTGCATTCTCTGAAATATGCAAAGGGTCAAGTGGTCTGAGGTGCTAAGCTCCCTTCAACTCCACTTGACTTCTCTGGGAGTTAAGATGCTCAGCCTCTTTCAGGCTTGGGTGCCAAGTGCTTTGCAGTGTTCCCATTGCTTAGAAGTAGAACAATAATGATGGTTCAACACTGAAAGGCACATCAGCTTCTCTCTCTCCCTTCCCCCATGCTGACTGATTGTACGCAGCTTTATCAGTAGGTTTGCTCACATCCCATCCCATCCCCTCTCACCACCCCAACCCAAAAATAAAATACACAATCCAACAGGCTTGCTGAGGACATATGGCCTTCTGTGAAACAAGTAGTTGAACAGATCCATAATTTGGCATCTTGCTACCAGATCTTCTTGCAAGAAGTCCCTGCATTTACCAAGCGCCAGTAGGATCCCATTACAAACAGGATCTTTCCAGAGGATTGTTTTTAATTTTTAAAAATCATTCAGTGAGGCACTCAGCTGTGTCACCACAAAATACCAAACAACAAAGCAAAAATGCTTTTAATGCACTGCCTTTTAGAGAGCGGAGGTGTTTCTAGGATGCTGTCAACAGGACTATAAAATAATCATCATTTACACACAATAGCTTTTTCCAGAAAAATTATCTGTAGCAAGAAATTTGCAAATTGTGGTTACATCTGCCTGTCACTTCAAAAAGTGCCAGTCAGGCCCCAAATGCAGGTTCAGTAATTTATTTAGGAGATATTTCTATCATCATGCAAACTTCTACCTACAGTATTTGCAACCCAATCATTACTGCCCTGTGCTAATGCAGGAGAGTCAAGAAAGCACTGCTAATTCCTCTGTGAAAATGTATGGAGCACTGCAATAGTCATCAAAAGAATTAGACCAAAAGTATAAAAGTATAACTGGGTTAAAAAAAGAATAAGAGGACAGGTCCATCAATGGCTATTAACCAAGAAGTTCAGGGATGTATCCCCATGCCCCTAAATCTCTGACGGTCAGAAACTGAGTATGGACAACAAGGCATGGATCATCACTCCATAATTGTCCTGTTCTGTTCTCTGAAGCACCTGGCACTAGCCACTATCAGAAAACAGAATACTGAGCTAGATGGGCCATTGGTCTGACCCAGTACAGCCATTCTTATGTTCTTAGAACGGGTAAGTGCAACTAACTATTCTAGCTTGATTGTCCAAACTGAATGAAACACAAGAAGTAAACAGAGCGTTAATATAGAAAAGCAAGTCAGATTTTAACTCTCTTTCTATTTTAATAAACTACTACCTGAAGTTAATTCCCTGTGCTGTTAGTAACACTGGGAGGACATTTAGGTCCCAATCCTGTCCTGTAACTGGTTCCACATAGAGTCTAGACAGATCCCTGTGCCTGCACAGAGCTAGATGCAGGATCGCAGCCTTATTTTTACCACTCTTTTTAATCTTTTAACCCAGATATACTGGTGAGCTGAACTTTCCATGAACTCTGCAAAGGAATTGTCAACCCTCCCGTCATCTCCATCTGAGCAGCCAGTGCGTTTTTCAATTAAAATACACCCCCCGACACACACACATACATTAAAAAGAACAGTTTCTGTGCTTCTTGTTTAAAATTGTGTTTGCCCAGCTAGAGAAAGCCTGTACAATTCTTTATCCTCCACCCAGGGCGAGGTGCAGGGAGTTTCCAAACAGTCCACCACCACCCCTGTAGGGGAAAAAAAAAACCAAGTATGTAGAGCCGCAGCAGAGTTTATCTGCCCCCCGCCCCGGGAGAAGGGTCCGAGGCGGGGGGCGCCTCCCAAACGGAGGGGAACTTGAAACAGCCAATTCTCGTTGCGGGGGGGTGGGGGGTTAAGAGGAGCTAGAAACTCTCAGACTCACGCATCAGAGCAGGTGCTCTCCTCGGCCAGGTGCGGGGAGGGGGCCCGTCGCTCCTGCCCCGCGGGGGGCTGCAGAGCCCGCTCTGTGCGCGTGGAGGCGGGCACATACATGGGGGGCTGCCTGGGGAGAGTCACGACGTCGGCGACCGGGGAGGTGGGTGCCCCGGGGGCCGGGCATTGTGGAGGGGAGTAGAAAAGACGCCGCTGCCGGGCCGGCTCGCCCCGCGCCTCCAGGCTCCCGGGGCACCGGGAAGGGCAGCGGTAAAGGCACGCGGGAGGCGCGCAGCCGGCTCCTCAGCCCGGCAACCCAGGGGAGGTGCCGGGCCGCGGGGTAGGGGAGGAGGGGCCGTCCCGCCCCGCCCGGCTCCGCCTGCCCCAGCGCAGCCCCCGCCCCAGGCCGTGGAGCTCCTCCTCGGACGGGATCCGGCCCGCCGAGTTTCAAGCGACCCCGTTCGTCCTTAAGGATCCCACAGCCCTAGAGAGAGAGGCAGACACACGCTGGGAGCGCCTCACCTGGCCTCGGGGTGGGACTGTGCAACGAGGGTGACCAGGCAGCAAATGCGAAAAGTTGGGCCGGGGGTGGGGGGTAATAGGAGCCTAGAGAAGAAAAAGACCCAAAAGTGGGGACTGTCCCTATAAAATCGGGACATCTGGTCACCCTGTGGTTCACACACCAGGCCAGGGAAGCCAATGAGAACACTGAGCCCAGCTGACACTGCAGGGGAACCCAGGAGGCCCTGTGACTAGACTTTGGCCAGGTCAGTGGTGCTAATGACCCTGACTTTGTCATGGGTACTGCAGGCCCTGTAATGCCCGACAGGAAAAGGCTCTCAGGCTTTATGCTGCCTCCAGCAGCAGCACCCCGACTCAGTCCTGACATAGCAAAAAGAACTACCTCTATTTGAGCCACGCACACTTTCTGTTCGACTCCCATCCACAGCTTGACCCAATAGAGCCTTATTTAGCTGGGCAACGCGAAGAGAACCATAGTACAACCTGCTATAGCTGCAGATATGCTACAGCCAATATAGCATAATCAGCGCTACTTCTAAGCCCTGGTCTACACTACGAGTTTAGGTCGGATTTAGCAGCGTTAGATTGATTTAGCCCTGCACCCGTTCAAAATTCGAAGCCATTTTTTCTGACTTTAAGAGCTCTTAAAACCGGTTTCTGTACTCCTCCCCGACGAGTGGATTAGCGCTGAAATCGACCTTGCTGGGTCCAATTTGGGGTAGTGCGGACGCATTTTGACGGTACTGGCCTCCGGGAGCTATCCCAGAGTGCTCCATTGTGACCGCTCTGGACAGCACTCTCAATTCAGATACACTGGCCAGGTAGACAGGAAAAGCCCTGCGAACTTTTGAATTTCATTTCCTGTTTGGCCAGCGTGGCGAGCTGATCAGCACAGGTGACCATGCAGAGCTCTTCAGCAGAGGTGACCATGCAGTCCCACAATCGCAAAAGAGCTCCAGCATGGACCGAATAGGAGGTACTGGATCTGATTGCTGTGTGGGGAGAAGAGACGAAATGCCAAAATATTTGAAAAAATTTCCAAGGGCATGAAGGACAGAGGCTATAACAGGGACCCGCAGCAGTGCCGCGTGAAACTTAAGGAGCTCAGGCAAGCCTACCAAAGAATCAGAGAGTCAAACGGCTGCTCCGGGTCAGAGCCCCAGACATGCCACTTCTATGATGAGCTGCATGCCATTCTAGGGGGTGCCCCTATAACTACCCCAGCCCTGTGCATGGACTCCGTCAATGGACTCTCACGCAACAGGGATGCAGATATTGGGGACGAGGAAGATGAGGAGGAGGTTGAAGCACAGCAAGCAAGTGGAGAAACCCTTTTCCCTGACAGCGAGGAACTGTTTTTCAACCTGGATCTAGTACCCTCCCAACCCACTGAAGGTGGGCTCCCGGACCTAGAAGGTGGAGAAGGGACCTCTGGTGAGTGTACCTTTGTAAATATAATACACGGTTTAAAAGCAAGCGTATTTAATGATTAATCTGCCCTGAAGACTTGGGATGCATTCGCGGCCAGTACAGCTACTGGAAAGGTCTGTTAACGTGTCTGGGGATGGAGCGGAAATCCTCCAGGCACATCCCAATGAAGCTCTCCTGGATGTACTCCCAAAGCCTTTGCAAAAGGTTTCTGGGGAGGGCAGCCTTATTCCGTCCTCCATGGTAGGACACTTTACCACGGCAGGCCAGAAGCACGTAGTCTGGAATCATTGCATAAGAAAGCATGGCAGTGTGTGGTCCTAGTGTTTGCTGGCATTCAAGCAACATCCGTTCTTTATCTCTCTTTGTTATCCTCAGGAGTGTGATATCATTCATGGTCACCGGGTTGAAATAGGGGAATTTTATTAAGGGGACATTCAGAGGTGGCCGTTCGTGCTGGGCTGTTTGTCTGTGGCTGAACAGAAATCATCCCCGCTGTTACCCATGCGGTGGGGAGAGGGGTGAAGCGATCATCCCAGAGAATTGGGTGTGTGGGGAGAAGGGTGGGGGAGTGTGGTTAGTTGGGTTTGTGCTGCATGTTAACATGAAAATCGCAGCCCCTCCTTTCAAATGACCAACCCATTTTAAAGGGCCAGCCCAACGGGTGCTTGGTATGTGAAATGAGGACGCTGCTGTTTGAAGCCATTCCCACATGTTAGGAAGGTTAAAGAAGCCAAAAGACTGTGGCTTACCCTGTCTGCCTACAAGCCAAATCCTGTTGCCCACCGATCACTCACAGCATACCGGCTGGCTTTCGATATAAGAGGCAAAATGCGACCTTGTAATGAAAGCACATGTGCTATGTAATGTTAACAGCTTAGTTCACCGTGAAAGATTCTACCCATTGTTCTCTAAAATGTCTCTTTTTAAAGACTAATTTCCCTTTTTTCCCTCCCGCAGCTGCAAATGTTTCATTGCTCCACGTATCATCTCCGTCCCAGAGGCTATCAAAGATTAGAAGCCGAAAAAACCACACTTGCAATGAAATGTTCTCTGAGCTCATGCAGGCCTGTACGGGGAGACTTTGGCAAACCAGTAAAGTGCCTGAAACCACTTATTGCTTATTGCTAAAAGCAGCCAAGTCAGCAGACTGTAAATTAGCCAAGTCAGCAGGCTTAGCTTAACCAAGACAGGAGGGGAGGGGGGTTTTTGGGTGCCACAGAAAGGGCAGCTTGACCCCGCATCCTTCCTGATAGGAATTGTGTTGAAGTTGCTGATACGTGCATCTTAGAAGAGCAGGATGTGCCCCAGAAATGTCTATTGGGGCCTCAAGGTTGCAAACTCTGGAAAAACCCACACCTGGTTAATCGATAATCAGAAGGAGCCTCTTGCTTGCCCATTGGAACTGCTTGCTTAACAAGTTTTCTTTAAGGGACATGTCATTCTGTTACTAATGTATAAATAAGGGGGAAAAGTTTGAGGTAGTGGGACTCTTCAGGATTGGACCCTCTCTCTGGATGCACCTTGTGTTTCCCACTGGCAGATGGGTTGCCGCTGTGCCACTCGAGAGCCACACTCAGCTTTGGTAATTATCAAGGGTTGGGGGTGTTTTACTAACCTGTTGCGGACCTGTGTATAGGTGCTTGAGACTACGTAAAGTTTAACTTTAAGTGAAAGCACTCTTGTGTTGTCCTGTTTGTGCCAGCCATCTATCGGTCGGATGGCCGTGTCTTCCCTGATTTATTTCCTGACACCACCTCACACAGAGTAAAAGTTACCAAGAGCTTTGGGTGGAAAGAACCCCGGGTAACAGGCCTCCCATGCTGAAGGAGCCCAGCACAATGCGTTGAGGGAGACAATGTCAGAGTCCAGGAAAGCACAAAATGAACGCGAGGACAGGAGAGATGAGCGAGAGGACAGGAGGGATGAGCAAGAAGAGAGGTGGCGTCAGCGTGATGAGAGGAGGCAGGATGCAATGCTAAGGCTACTGGAGGATCAAACTGATATGTTCTGGCATATGGTTGAGGTGCAGGAAAGACAGCAGGAGCACAGACCGCCGCTGCAGCCCCTGTGTAACCAACCACCCTCCTCCCCAAGTTCACCCCAGATGCCCAAGAACGCAGTGGGGGGGCCTCCGGGCACCCAACTACTCCACCCCAGAGGACTGCCCAAGCAACAGAAAGCTGGCATTCAATAAGTTTTGAAGTGCAGTGTGGCCTTGTCCTTCCGTCCTCCCGTCCTCCCCTCCTCCACCACCCCACCTGGTGCTTCCCTCCTCCCCCTCTCCTCCTGGGCTGCCTTGGCAGTTATCCCCCCATTTGTGTGACGAATTAATGAAGAATGCATGAATTTGAAACAACAATGACTTTATTGCCTCTGCAAGCGGTGATCGAAGGGGGGAGGGGAGGGGAGGGCGGTTGGCTTACAGGGAAGTAGAGTGAACCAAGGGGGCAGGTTTCCATCAAGGAGAAACAAACAGAACTTTCACACCGTAGCCTGGCCTGTCATGAAACTGGTTTTCAAAGCTTCTCTGATGCGCACCGCACCCTGCTGTGCTCTTCTAACTGCCCTGGTGTCTGGCTGCATGTAATCAGTGGCCAGGTGATTTACCTCAACCTCCCACCCTGCCATAAACGTCTCCCCCTTACTCTCACAGATATTGTGGAGCGCACAGAAAGCAGTAATAACAAGGGAATGTTGGTTTGGCTGAGGTCTAACCGAGTCAGTAAACTGCGCCAGTGCACTTTTAAATGTCCAAATGCACATTCTACCACCATTCTGCACTTGCTCAGCTTATAGTTGAATAGCTCCTGACTACTGTCCAGGGTGCCTGTGTATGGCTTCATGAGCCATGGCATTAAGGGGTAGGCTGCGTCCTCAAGGATAGCTATAGGCATTTCAACATCCCTAACAGTTATTTTCTGGTATGGAAAGTAAAAGTCCCTTGCTGCAGCTGTTTCCACAGACCAGAGTTCCTAAAGATGCGAGAGTCATGTACCTTTCCCGGCCGTCCCACATTGATGTTGGTGAAACGTCCCTTGTGATCCACCAGTGCTTGCAGCACCATTGAAAAGTACCCCTTTCAGTTTATGTACTGGCTGCCTTGGTGCTCCGGTGCCAAGACAGGGATATGAGTTCCATCTATTGCCCCACCACAGTTAGGGAATCCCATTGCAGCAAAGCCATCCACTATGACCTGCACATTTCCCAGAGTCACTATCCTTCATAGAAGCAGGTCAGTGATCGCGTTGGCTACTTGGATCACAGCAGCCCCCACAGTAGATTTGCCCACTCCAAATTGATTCCCGACTGACCAGTAGCTGTCTGGCGTTGCAAGCTTCCAGAGGGCTATCACCACTTGCTTGTGAACTGTGGGGGTTGCTCTCATCCTGGTATTCTTGTGTTTCACGGCAGGGGAAAGCAAGTCACAAAGTTCCATGACAGTGCCCTTATGCATGCGAAAGTTTCGCAGCCATTGGGAATCATCCCAGACCTGCAACACTATGCGGTCCCACCAGTCTGTGCTTGCTTCCTGGGCCCAGAATCAGCATTCCACAGTATGAGCTTGCTCCATTGCCACCAGAATGGGCAAATTGCCGGGGCCCGTACTTTGAGAGAAGTCTGTGTCCATGTCCTCATCACTGTCCTCACTGTGCTGCCGTCACCTACTCACCTGCTTTTGCAGGGTCTGGTTCTGGTTCTGCATATACTGCTGGATAATGCACGTGGTGTTTAGAACAGTCATAACTGCCGCGATGATCTGAACGGGCTCCATGCTTGCTGTGGTATGGCATGAGCAGGAGAGCAGAGTGGCAGCAGAAGCGGCGGGTGGATGACGATGCTGACAGCAATATGGTGCCCGCACGGAAAGAGGCACGAAACGATTGTCGGCCGTTGCTTTCACGGAGGGAGGAAGGGAGGGAGCAAGGGGGAGGACCTGATGACATGTACCCAGGACCACCCAGGACAATGTTTTTTGCCCCATCAGGCATTCGGATCTCAACCCAGAATTCCAATGGGCGGTGGAGACTGCGGGAACTGTGGGATAGCTACCCACAGTGCAACGCTCTGGAAGTTGATACTAGCCTCGGTACTGTGGACACACTCCGTTGACTTAATGGTCTTAATGGTCTTAAGTGGGGACACACACAATCGACTGTATAAAATCACTTTCTAAAAAATCGACTTCTATAAATTCGACCTAATTTCGTAGTGTAGACATACCTTAAGAGTGTAGCGAAAGCTGCCAGACTACACTTGCAGATGTAAAGCTCTTTGAGTTAAACCCACTTTTGTAGAGCACAGTAGGGAAAGCGCTGCAGTCTGTTCACACTGACAGCTGCAAGCGCACTGGTGTGGCCACATTTGCGGCACTTGCAGCGGCATTGGGAGCGCTGAATTATGGGCAGCTATCCCAGCATGCAAGTGGCTGCAACATGCTTTTCAAATGGGCGGGGGGGTGGGGTGGAGTGTGACAGGGAGTGTGTTGTGTGTATGTGGGGGGAGAGAGAGTGGGTTTTGGGGGGGCCTGAGAGCATATCAGCATGCTGTCTTGTAAATTCAGACAGCAGTAGACCCCCCTCTCCCCCGCCTCTCTCTCACACACAGCATTCCACAGTAATGGTTGCTTTGTCTCGGAGCAGATAAGCAGCCAGCTGTCAGAAACGGAGCTTTCAAAGGGCATATCCGCATTCCTACAGCCAATTCCAAACAATTGCCACTTGACTTAAGGGGATTATGGGACGTTTCCAGAGGTTCATCAGAGCGCAGTAAAGCAACACCTTGTTCACACTGGTGCTGCGGCGCTCCAGTGAAGCGCAGCAAACATTATTCCACTCGCCAAGGTGGAGTACCAGCAGTGCTGTAGCCGTGGAGTCAGAGCGCTCTACATGCCTTGCCAGTGTGGACGGGTAGTGAGCTAGTGCGCCCGGGACTCCTTTATTGCACTGTAACTCACAAGTGTAGCCAAGCCCTTAGCATCATATTATTCTCTCTAGCCTCAGAGAGAGTGTATTCCAGTGGATAAAAGACAGCTAGGAGTAGAAATGTAGGGACTATTACTAGTTCTGCCACTGATCAACTTGGGTAAATCTTCGTGCCTCAATTTCCTCTCTCATCTATTTACATTGTAAAACCATTAGAGCAGGGACTATGTTTATACAATGCCTAACACATACTGTAAAATAATAATAATTGATTAATATTTGCTTTTTTTAAACATATATTTTTGTTGAAATTAGAGAGGGATCAGAGACCCACAGTTAGGGGGTTCTTGGCTCTCTGGTTTTGTTTTGGCCCATTACAGGAAAAGGAAAGCAGCTGCGTAGTTTGAATCTGAATTAGGAACTAAACTTGCCCAGAATGCAGGGATTGGATCCAGGTTTGTATCTAAATTAAATAATATTGCGACCTACACATCACACAGCCCGACAAAGGGCATTTTCACCAGCTTTACTGAAGGCAGCAGTTTGTAGCATGGCCCACACCCTACTACAGTGATTGTCTGGTGGGCACCGCCTCTCCCATTCACAGCCTCAAAACATCCCTGTGGCAACTACTTCCATGAGAAAGCATATGGGGTAGTATCCAGTCTTGATCTGAGACACCAAGAGATGGAGAATTCACCACTTCTCATGGGTAGTTTGTTCCAATGGTTGATCATCCTCACTGTTAAACATTTGTGCCTTATTTCTAACTTGAATTTGTCCAGCTTCAGCTTCCAGCCATTGGTTCTTGTTCTGCATTTCTTTGCTAGATCAAAGAGCCCTTCGGCACCCAATATTTTCTCTACTTATGCAGAGTGATCAAGTCACCGCTCAGTCTTCTTTTTAATAAACTAAACAGACTGAGCTCTTTATGGCTCTTTCTGGAAGGCATTTTTTTTCAGCCCTTGAATCATTTTTGTGGCTCTTTTTTACACCCTCTCCAATTTTTCAAGATCTTTTTAAAATGTGGATGTCAGAATTGGACCCAATATTTCAGTATTAGTCTCACCAAAGACATATATAGAGGTAAAATCCTGTCTGTACTTCTATTCATTTTCCCCCTCTTTATACATCCAACGACCACATTAACACTGGGAGCTAATGGTCAGTTGCTTGTCCTAAATCCTTTTCAGAGTCTCTGCTTTCCAGGATACAGTCCCCCCATTCTGTCGGTATGATCTACATTCCTTGTTCCAAAATGTACAGCCTTGCATTTGGCCGTATTAAAACTAATTTTGTTTGACTGGGCCCAGTTTATCCAGAATCCAGATTGCTTTATTCTCATAATTATTTACTTGTCTGCTATTTTTTGTGTGATTTCCAAATTTTATCAGCAGAGATTTTATATTTATTTCCAGATCAGACCCTAAACCAAAACAGAGCCAGATTGCTGGCATATAAAATTAAAAAGGGCATAGAGGAATTTTCAAACTAAGGGCTGGGGAAAAACTGACAGGTGAAGAGGAGCACACAGTTTGGACAGAGACATCCTTTAGGGGAGGATTTATATATATCCCAGTAAAGAGGAGAGGACAGAAGTTGAGAAAGTTCAGGTAGGAACTCAAAAGAAACAGCCAAACACAAAAAAGACCCATTCAAT